GGGGGGGGGGGGGGTTCGAACCGGTAGTGACCCCCCCGGTCTTCGAGGGGGGGGGGGGGGGGGAGGGGTTAGGGAAGGGGGGGTTTTGCCGGGGGAGGGGAGGGGGGGGGGAGGGGTTCCAGCAGGGGGGGGGGATGTTCGGAGGGGGGGGGGGACCCCCGGGCTCCGGAGGAAAAGGGCTGCAATTTTCCACAGTACAGCGGCCGGCGGTGGATCACGCTCTCTGTGATATTAACCAGTGACGGGATCTCAGGCGAAACGCCCAGTTCGCCCTACCAAAGAGTCTGGTGGCGCGACGAGGAAAAACTACTTATAAGGACGAGAGATTGAGGGCGAATAGGAAGAGGCGGAGCCAGAGGAGGATGACCACACCTTTGTTGTCGACTTCCTCCTTCCCCTCCCCCCTCACTACCCCTCCTGGCCCTTCGGAAGTAGAGGGCTTCTGAGAGGAAACAACGTGTTGGTTGATTTTGTTTGCTCATGTCGCCGAATCGACCGTGTCTTAGGCCAGTGAACGTCATAGTGCACCGCGTGGGCAGAGCTTCAAGAGGGAAATGGGGGGACGCAAAAGGGCGACCGCAATAGCTGGCCCTTCATCCCCTTCTTCCCATCCTCACGTCGACCAAGAAACAAACGACACCACCCCACCTGCGGCCCTCCATGTTGCGCTGCGGCCCATCGGGGGCCGTGGCGCATACCACGCCAAAGCCCGCGGAAACTTCCCCGGTATACGCCAAGGCCCTTTGGGGACGCAAGCGGGGTTCCATCGCCCTCCCACCCGCCCCGGTGGATCTGGCGCGGGGGCAGACGGTGCTGCACGGCCTGCCCCCTCAGGCAGAGCGGCGACCCTCGGCCTTCGTCCGCGGGGTGCCGCGGCTCCAAGGGGATCGCCACCGACTGGCCCGCAGGCCTCGCGGACATGTGTTCTGATGCCCACGGAATACCCCGACTGCTTTCTGCCAGAGTGCGCCCGCTGCAGTTGCGTTGCCGAGGGCGTCCGCGTGGCTGATCTTGCCAAGCGCTGTCACAGGGGTCTCGCGAGTCCGCACGCGCAGAATAACTGGGGGCGGATCCGAACTCATCAGCACCCGAACCTAGCCAAATGCGACGTCAGGGTGGTCTGTGAACGAGTTCCGCTTCGTGAGCTTCTCGACAGCGACCCCCAAGAGGTCCATCGGAGATCAGCCTGACCTACTCAAAGGTTCTGGTCCATATCCTGGTGAGCTCATTCCCCAGTGAACTGGTCCATTCCCCGGTGGCACCGGGGAATGGTCCGGCTTGCGGTCGTTTCTATGGCGAATGTTTCGAACGGGGTCGTCCCAGAAAGGTATGAAAGCCAAATTGGTAGGCTTATGTGCAACAGTTAAGTTTCCGCCACAAATCCTGAGGAAGGAGCAGTCGGTGCACGTTGTAATGGTATTTTAGTCACAAAAATTCTCAGGGGAAGATTTTCGACAATTGTTGGCTAATTTGTTTTTCAAATTTATTGCGTCTTTCGGATTTTTCGCCCAAAACGCGCCTGTAGAAGGACATGCCCGACCTAATTGTGCAATCGTCGTCGTTGCCGTCGTAGTAGTAGTCG